CGTCAGTCAAGTCCAAAAAGGACTCTGATTGGAGGATACGAGATGGGACGGGTGACTCACGATCGTGTACTCAAACGTAACAGATCGCGGGACCGTTGGTGACAAGGGTGGGACATGTGGTGACTCTGAGATTTCTACGTAATCTGAAGACGAATCTCACCAGAGATCGCGGGATCAATTGGGGATAACGAGATCACTCAAGGTTCACGAGATCGGCCAGAGATCGCGACCCCGACCAGAGATCGCCACTCTGGATTCAGCTGCGTACAATGCGGGTGTGGGCCACGCCAAGTTTCTAGAGAGAGAGCACTTGGTGTAACCAACATAGGTACAAAGGGAAGGTCTCCTGAAGATCGAGATGCGTGATCCCGAAAGTTCGTGATACAGATAGGCCTATCATTGTGTTAGTTTACAGGCTTGACTGATCAGCATTAATCAGCGTTCAATTTGTTCCTAAGTACATGTGTTGACTTCTATTCGGGGCTGGATCATTGGACACCCGACGTCAAGAGAAGTTACATACATGAATGAAGTGATATACCTGGATTGTTTGGCCAGGGATCAAGGAATCTCAAACAACAACTCCAACTGCTGACGCAGAAAACAAGTTAAGAAAAACGGTGCAAGATCGCGAGACAGCTCGAGTGGTCAGAAGGCTCGCGAATCCAGTATCTAAATTGGACAAGGCGATCTCGTAGGGATCAGGGTGACTCATATCGAGCACCTTACAAGTACACCGAAGTCGTGAGAACGTATCAACGCGACAACCCAATCTCAAACACGGTCAAGTTCGGAATCGACTCAAGATCACCTGGAAAAGTGCAACCCGCCCTACCGACGGGTACACAAGGTGAGCAAAAGTTACAGCACGGAATCGGAGTGCCCCCTCCATAAGTAGCTCGTCCGGGCGCCAGTGGAGAGCTGGGATCGACTCCTCAAACAAGCGATCGCCACTCCACCACAGTACAAAAAGATAATCAAGACGAGATGCGCCTCGCCATAAACGGGGCAGTGAACTATATATATATATGTATATATATATATATATCAAGTATCACATTATCCGAGAGCTTGTACGTGGCGGCTCGATAGTCATCGAGTATTGTCCCACAAGTATCATGGTTGCAAAAACATTGAAGAAGCCGTTAGGTAGTGTTAAGCTGGATCGCTTCCGCCAGATACTCGGGATCCAGCGATGGGAGTGTTAGAGCTTATGTGCGCACTGTGCGTTATTTACACAACTAGAGATGAAGCCATGTCGCTACACCGGGATTTGTCCCTGTGTAGACACGATACTCGTAGGTACGTGTACATCGCTGGGTCTAGAGAGTGCGATACCACGGATTTCGTCATATCGTGATGTAGTGCGACGTCAACACGGTAGTAAAGTACACTTCTCGTTTTGTTAGAGTCGCTCTTAGTTAACATTGTTACCCGCCAACTTCTTTCTCTCAACAATCTAATCGTTTCACCGCAGAAGCTATCTGCCGGGCAAATCCCGATGAAACTTCCACATATTTTGTTGTTCCATGGCACGACGATTGGCGCACAAGCTCTCAGTAAGTGTCGACGCGAAATATGTTGCTTATAATACGATAATTGGGCCTTAGCTTCCATGGTGTGCCGGTGTAACAACGCACCCGAACTAACGAGATACAGACTGTGGCTGTTGACCCATAGTCCTGCGATTGTGCATATTCTGCTTTAGCGAATCAATCATGAACGATACGGTTGGCGCCAGAAGAGGAGTCAATATAAATTCAAGAGAAGGTAGCCTAAGGCAAATGATTAAATTCGAAGATTTCAATAAAGTTTTATTCCGTTCAATTACAATTCTCCATTTTTAAATTCTGCATGTATTTATGTAAAACATCAACAAAAGCTATACTCATACCCAGACACTATTGTGCATTCCAAATGTTCTATGAAAGTGATAATGTCATAATATAGTTCTAAGATTCATCGAGTAGGTGATGTTCTCGTCACATCAAATGTGAGGATTTGGCTGAATATTACAAAGAGGTTACATTGTAAAAAAATCACAAAAAACGCTTTTATCTATATAAACACAACATATCTTTCTGTACGATTACATCTTGCATATTAAACAATATTGCGTTGTACCGAACAACTTTGATCGAACTGTTGTCTGAACCTTAAACGACCTGAGTCACATTAGTGTAACGGATACTTTAATCAGTAATTTGAGCCAAATAAATAATTTCATGTATGTTGACCCATATTTTTGTATCGTCTCACATATAAATGATATCGACAACTTAAAGCGTAATTGAGATACTTATTTAGTGTCTATGTATCTGGTCGACTTGTTGACCTTGTTGTCGATATACGTGCGCTCCAATCACATGTTCTGTTTTTATTTACTCAAAAAATAAATACACAAATGGTCATAATTATGCAAATTGTACAGATGGAACCAACAATGAATACAAATTAACCTGCGGACGTAGCACAATTGTTTTTAAAACACTAATATAAAGAACTGAAATAAGCTTACACAAAAACTATTTGTAGATATGAGGAGGTCATACCTTTTTGAGTTATAGGTATCATATATTGTCCATGATTTTGGAGTCGGTTGACGTGATTATAATTATGAGTAATATATATATATGCCTATTTTCTTGGCCGTCGTAAAAATTTGCCCATAGATATGTATAAGCTTTTGCTCTATTTTGTTTTGAGTTGAAAACTGCTAAGTATCGACAATAAGCAGCATGTCGTCGCCGTGTCAAAACGAAGAAGACAGTGCCGACTGTTCTGTGCAGCAGATCGACTGCCAGTTGCAAATGTGGCGTACTGGGCGAGGGAGGCAGAGCGGATGAGGCCACAATGTGAACGTATCAGCAGGATTCATCGTCTAGATCCGGCAAAAGTGGGACAAAAGCACCGGATCAATCGATGAGTCCGACTGCTCGCATCCAGCTGCGAGACTGTCGAGCTACAGTCGAACGGACTCGTGATGCCCGACCAAACAATGAGCAGAATAGACGATGCAAAGGCGGTATCCTCTTGCACGTCGAGATAGGCCACAGCTGCTGCTGTTCAGCTGCTTGTTTATGCACGTGGGCCGAGCGCAATATAGCGACATACACGGACGTAGCCATCAGCGACCTTAAGCCTCGTACGCACCATACGATCATGCAGTTAAGGTATCCAAGTAAACCAATGATAGATGGGCGATGGCTCTGTGGCTGCAGTCGAGATGCTGTGGCGAGTACATGTGCAATGAACAAGTCGAGGCCACTAGACACGTCGTCACGGGCAAGTTTCTCTGTGCCGTACACTTTCGCCATACCCAGAGCGAGTACCTCAGGGGCCCCAGCGGGAGTGGACAGACGTGGCGATATCTTGTTTGCACTTCTTCTGAGTATCTTTTGCGTGGGAATCGCTGCGGGCATTCTCCACGCAGACGCCGTCATCGAAAAGCAGATGAAACAGGCGCTCGTTCTACGCGACAACTCGCTCGAGAGATCATCTCATGATCGACGACGTCGTAGCCCCTGAGCGCAAATAGCCGCCAGGAGCTCAGCTCAGCTTTCCAGCGCAAAATCGCGTTCCGAAAAAACATGGGAACAAAAACTCGACGTCTGTCTGGACGCAAACGATGACGGGCGTAAAAGCGCCGGGAGATGGGCGCCCGCCCGCCCGCCCGCCTGTTCCCACACACAGTGAGAACAACCGACGCCCAGGCGCTACTGCTTTTATCCGTTACGTTGCGCGCTGTTTTTTTCGTTCGTGCAGTTGAAATTCGGTAAAATGGCTGAAACGCGGGCAGACGCTCCGAGTAGTACTGCGAGTGCTCCAGCCGCTACGACGGAGACCCGTGTCGAGCGCGCGTCCCGAGGCGTCGGTCCCGCCGGCGGATCTTCTGCGGGTGGCAGTGGCTCCAGTCGCAACAATGTGGTCGTGAAAGTCGGGATGGTGGGGGACGCGCAGGTGGGCAAGACGAGTCTCATGGTCAAGTACGTGGAGGGCAAGTTTGACGAGGACTATATCCACACACTGGGCGTAAACTTCATGGAGAAAACCATTGCGCTCCGCAATACGGAAATCACGTTCAGTATCTGGGACTTGGGCGGCCATCGCGAGTTTATCAGCATGCTACCGCTCGTGTGCAACGACGCAGTCGCCATTTTGTTCATGTTTGATCTCTCCCGGAAGGCGACGCTCACCAGCATTAAGGAATGGTACCGCCAAGTGCGCTCGATCAATAAGGTGCCCTATTTGTTTTTGTGTGGACCCATTCGTTGGTGGACCAAGCAATTCACGGGTTTCCGGCTTTCTTGTCCCACGTGCTGTATGGTCATATCGCTAGAATGCGTTCCCGTTCCTGGTCGGGATGAAGTACGACCACTTTGCCAACTTTGCCGTGGAAGAACAGGAAGACATTACAAAACAGGTACGTACGTACGTGGCGAAAGGGCCGATAGTTGTCGATCATGCTGCGTTTCGCTCGATCATGCTGATCTGCTGTTTTTTTGTGGATGCGACACCTCAGGCTCGCAAGTTTGCCAAGGCGATGAAAGCGCCCCTTATCTTCACGTCTGCCTCGCACTCGATCAATGTGCAGAAAGTGTTCAAGGTAGTGCTTAGCAAGGTGTTTGACCTCAAGTGCACGGTGCCTATCATCGATCGCGTGGGAGATCCGATCTTGCAGTACTAGTTGTGTCCCCGTTGTCACCTCGACTTATAGATATCATGCGCTCCTCGCTCAGTGGACCGTATTTCGTGTGTAAATGACAATGCTTTGCTTGCGTTATTTGCTTCATCCAAGGCATCATCGACCTATTTCCAGCACGTTTGTAATCGTCTTATCCATCACTAGCAGCAACGTCACGTCACACTACCCATATTGTCTTTGCTTGTGCGTGTCCATGATCGAGCTCCATGCGGTTGGCGATCGGCACGTGTACACACTGCTGCTCCTCCTTGCAACACGAAGCCAAATGATCAACAGCGCAACGAGACGAAAGACCTTACTCCAGGTCAATGCCCGCGTACTCGTTAATTCCAAGCGCGACGTTGATGTTCTGCACTGCCTGTGTTGCGGCCCCCTTCAGAAGATTATCAATGGTGGCTACTACCACAAGTCGACCCGTGTCTTGGTCCAACTGGAAGCCACCCACAGTCGCATGCGCATGGTACGCGTTATCCTTGACAAACGGAACGTCCGGCGTCACTTTCACCAACGTCTCGTTCGCGAAGAACTCATGGTAGAGCTCCTCTACCTGTTTTGCTGACGTGATGATCCCATCGTCGGCAAGCTGTGCCGACAGCGTGAGGTGGATGCCTTGGAAGTACGGTGCCACATGAGGCATGAATCGAACTGACGTGCCGAGCTGGTGGCTAACTTCGTGTTCGTGGATGTGCTGCACAGACTTGTACGCGATGATGTTGTCATTGAGCACATCCAGGTCATTGGCCTTGGAGGGGTTCGTGCCAGCCCCACTGTAGCCCGAGACCCCAAACGCGTGCGGTGGAACGCTCTTGTCAATCAGATTTCCGCTCACTTCCGGCTTGCCTCCAAGAAGCGGTATCAGACCAAGCTGCACACCAGTCGCATAGCAGCCGGGGTTAGCGATATGGGTGGCTCCCTGCAATCGCGTGCGCCCACCCGGAGCCTCTGGCAAGCCGTAGGTCCAGTCCGAGTTGAAACGCTGGTCAGCACTCAAATCGATGATGACCTTATTCTTCCGCTGCAGCGCGTCCAAAGCTGTGGCGTAGTCCTCGCAGTAGCCGTTGGGCAATGCTAGCACCCACACGTCGACACTCTCTCCGAATGGCGAAGCTGCAATATCGTCCAGTCCAAGCTCGCAGAACTCCAGGTTGGGATCGATGTTAAGCTTCACATCTTCAATTGACTTGGCTGCCAGCTTCGTATGCGGGTTCAGAGGCGGGGCAGCAGCAACCTTCACCACCTTCGCGCCAGCCAGAGCGCGGGAGCTGGCACACACCAGCTCTAGCTCTGGGTGGCGGCCAATCACGCGAATAAGCTCGCCACCCACGTATCCACGCGCGCCGAGAAGACCAACGCGATACTTTCCGTTCGGACCACGTGGAATCGCCAGCGCCTTAGCACCAGTCTTTGCACGAGCAGCAGCAACAGGCTGCTCACCCTTAACGCACGTCGTCCCCGCACTCTTCTTGCTTACAATCTCACGCATGAGCTGCGACGCCGACGTGAGGACTACAGACGAGGTCGGTGGCAGTCCTTGCAGCAGCGCGTTGATCTCGTTTAGCTTCAGCAGCGTGCCTTGGCGACCCGTGTAGTCCCGAGCCGCCATGCGCTCATAGTCCTTGGCCATGTCGATTCTCTTGAGCTTCACGCCGTCCGGTTCGACCCAGCCTCCCTTGGCATTCACAAAGATGGTCTTCAGTGGCTGCATCGCCAACGCCAGCTGTCGAGCCGCCACGTCCGCGTTGATGTTCAGCGTCTGGCCGTCCACAGTCTCGCCCAGACACGAGAGCACTGGGATGCAGCCATCGTCGATCGCCTCTTGCACCGCGTCGGCGCAAATCTTGTGCACTTCGCCGACAAAGCCGTACACGTCCTTGTCCTTGAACTCGGCTTGCAGCACACCACTTGTAATGCCTCTGGCCCGCACGCCCGCATCGTTCAGCGCCGTGACGAGCGTCTCGTTCGTCGCGGAGAAGATCGTCTGCGCGACGTCGAGCGTCTCGCGGTCCGTCACGCGGTTGCCCCCGACGTACTGCGGCTCGACGCCCTGTCGCGCGAGCTCGTCGTTCATCTGCGGTCCCGCTCCATGCACCACAATCGGGAACAGTCCCGTCTCGCGCATGAACCGCAGCGACTCGATGAGCGTCGCGAGCTCGTGAATGATCACGTCGCCGCCGATTTTGATCACTGTCGTGGGCCGCGCGCCTGGCGTGCAGTAGAGCCGCTCGAGCTCTTGGACCGTATCGTCGGGTGCAAGCACTTGCGCCAGTTTCAGCGCGTAGTCGGTCAGGGCGCGGGACGAGAGCGCGCGGATTTGCGACGGCGTCGGGACAGCGGGAGCTGTAAACGCCGTCGCGTGGCTTGGGCGACTGCGAAGGGACGCGCGTAACGAGCCGATGCACGTGTGGGAGCGGCGCGTCAGGGCGCGCGTGAGTGCCGGTAGCTGCGGGAGCACGGGGCGCCACATGACGGAGCGAGTGGGGTGGGGTGGGCGCTTTCAAGATCGCAATAGTGGTGCGCGCGGGGTGGGTTTCGTAAAAGCGCTTTTTCGAGGGTTTCAGCGCGATCCAACGGGGTTTCGTCGTCTTCGGTGTGGGGTTTGGCTGGTCGCTCGTAGCTGGCTGCGAGCAGGTGCCGACGAGTGGATACTGGCGTCTGATTTGCAAAGAGACAGCCGATAGGTGCGAGGACACTGGCGACAAAGTCCCGCCTGCGTACTTACTTTGGCCGCTGCGCCCCGTCTCCCGCGTGCAGAAAGAAGTGGCCGAGACGTCGGGTGGGCTCTGTTCTCCAGCCGCGTTTTTCCAAGCGGATGCGCGCAAAGGGCGGCGATTGCTGTCTGCTTGACACTCGATCGGCGTCCGACGCGTCGGTCGTGACGCCAGCAACGCACGGCCAGATCGAGTGACGACTGCACGGACAGTTTGCGACTGCGACAACGGCAAGAACTGACGGCGTTTAGTGCCACTCCGTGTTGTTTATTCTGTCTCGCGGGCACGTGCTTTGCACAATACGCGACGTGTCGCCTCCAACCTGCGGACGGCATCTAGCGACGGTAGAGGCGCTACTTCAACTTCGACGCGGGCGACAACACAGACCCACGGGCTCCCGACGACTCGAGACAGTCGCAACGCCAACGTGACCGAGTGGCTCTGCTGCCGCCGCCGCCGCCTGCTCTTTTGTTGCGCGTATTGAGTGCAATTTATCCCCTGTCAGGTCTGCTGCGCGCGGTCCACACCCGCAGCTTGCCCCTTTTATGCATCCACGCGATCTTCGCCTCGGTCGGTCCTCCTCTTTTCGCCCGTGCGCTCATTTCCCAACTAGAAGCGCCGCCCGCACTCCGCACGGGCGCTGAGCAGTTGCCTCTCGTTGCCGCACAATGCTCCGCGCAGCGCACTCGGTCGTCAAGACCCGTCGCGTGCCGCTGTACAAGGCCAGCGGCCACCGCCTCCTCGTGGCGGCGCGCGAGAAGGCGATGCAAGTCGACCGCCGCCACGTCCCGCGCTTCGAGACGCCCGCCGTGCTCGAGTTCGCCGACGGCTCGCGCTTCCCCGGCGTCTCGTTCGGTGCCCAGAAGTCCATGGCGGGCGAAGTCGTGTTCACCACGGGCATGGTCGGCTACCCCGAGGCGCTCACGGACCCGTCGTTCAAGGGCCAGCTCTTGAACATGACGTTCCCGATGATTGGCAACTATGGCGTCCCGGACACGACGGCGCTGGACGACATGGGGCTGCACAAGTACATGGAGTCGGACCGCATCCACGCCGCGGGCGTGATCGTGCAGGACTACTCGAGCCATTACAGCCACTGGAACGCGGCGCAGTCGCTCTCGCAGTGGCTCGAGCGCGAAGGCATTCCAGGCATTGCCGGCGTCGACACGCGGGCCATCACCAAGAAGATCCGCGCGCACGGCGCCATGGCGGGCCGCATCCTTGTGGACGGCTGCGTTGACACGCCGCATCTCGTGGACGTGAATGCGACGAACCTCGCGGCCCTCGTGTCGACCAAAGACGTGATCACGTACGGCAAGGGGAACCCGCTCAAGATTTTGGCCGTGGACTGCGGCATCAAGTACAACATCATCCGGGAACTCGTAAAGCGCGGCGCGGAAGTCAAGCGCGTGCCCTGGAACCACGACATTGCGTCGGAGATGGACTGGTACGACGGGCTCTTTATCTCGAACGGTCCAGGCGACCCGGCGGTCATGAAAGAGACGACGGCGCAGCTGCAGAAGGCGCTGGCGCTGCAAGGCGACAATGTCAAGCCTGTCTTTGGCATCTGTCTCGGCAACCAGCTGCTCAGTCTTGCGGCGGGGGCAAAGACGTACAAGCTGCCGTACGGCAACCGCGGGCAGAACCAGCCTGTGCACAACCTGAAGACCGGTCGGTGCTACATCACGGCCCAGAACCACGGCTTTGCCGTGGACGGCAAGACGCTGCCAAGCGAGTGGGAGGAGCTCTTTGTGAACCTCAACGACAGCACGAACGAAGGTATTATCCACAAGTCGAAGCCGTACTTCACGGCGCAGTTCCACCCGGAACACGCTGGCGGCCCGACGGACACGCAGTTTCTGTTTGATACGTTCCTCGACGCCGTGCGCGCCAAAGAGAAAGGACCGATCAAGAGCTTGGTGCAGCGTCCGCAACTGAAGCGCATCGAGGTGAAGAAGGTGCTGGTGCTTGGATCCGGTGGTCTATCAATTGGCCAGGCCGGAGAGTTTGACTACTCTGGTTCGCAAGCTATCAAGGCGCTGAAGGAGGAGAACATTGAGACGATCTTGATCAACCCGAACATTGCCTCCGTGCAGACGAACATTGACCGCTCGAGCGAGGCGCAAGCCAGCAACGTGTACTACTTGCCTGTCAACCCAGACTTTGTGGAACAGGTGATCAAGCGCGAACGCCCCGACGGTATCCTTATCTCGATGGGCGGTCAGACTGCATTGAACTGTGGTATGGAGCTCGACAAGCGTGGCGTGTTCAAAAAGTACGGCGTGCAAGTGCTTGGTACGCAAATCGAAGTGATCAATTACACCGAAGATCGCGAGTTGTTCAACGGCAAGCTGGCGGAGATCAATGAGTGCATTGCTCAAAGTGAAGCTGTCGAGTCGGTGGACGATGCGGTGAGGGCTGCGTACAATATTGGTTTCCCGGTGATGATCCGCTCAGCGTTTGCGCTTGGCGGTCTTGGCTCGGGTATCTGCGACGACGAAGCTCATTTGCGCACGATGGCGAAGCAAGCCTTCTCGGGCAGTCCTCAGATTCTGGTGGAGCGGTCTATGAAGGGCTGGAAGGAGGTTGAGTATGAGGTGGTGCGAGACGCCGCCGACAACTGTCTGACCGTCTGCAATATGGAGAACTTTGACCCTCTGGGTATTCACACCGGCGAGTCGATTGTGATCGCGCCTTCGCAGACCTTGTCGAACAACGAGTACCACATGCTGCGTGAGACTGCTTTGAAGGTGGTGCGTCACCTTGGTATTGTGGGTGAGTGCAACATCCAGTACGCGCTAAACCCCGAATCGGAAGAGTACTGTATCATCGAGGTGAATGCGCGTCTGTCGCGTTCAAGTGCTCTAGCGTCGAAGGCGACGGGTTATCCACTTGCTTTTGTTGCCGCCAAGCTTGCACTAGGCATGAACCTGCCGGACTTGAAGAACTCTGTGACCAAGAGCACAACTGCTTGCTTTGAGCCTTCGCTCGACTACTGCGTCGCTAAGATGCCGCGTTGGGACCTGGCCAAGTTCGAGAACGTGAGTACTGAGATCGGCTCGTCGATGAAGAGTGTCGGCGAGGTGATGTCAATTGCGCGTACATTTGAGGAAGCGATTCAGAAGGCAATTCGTATGGTAGAGCCTTCTAACGAAGGCTTTGAGCCGCGATACGACGAGCTATCGCATGAGGAGCTAGTGAAGGCTCTAGGCAAGCCCACAGACCGTCGCATTTACCAAATCGCGCAAGCGTTGAAAACTGGACAGCTGTCTATCGAGCAAGTCCACGAGATCACCAAGATCGACACTTGGTTCCTTAGCCGTCTGCAGGCCATTTGCGATTGCGACGTGAACCTAACGGGCAAGAAGCTAAACGACATCACGGGTCCTGAGATCACGGAGGCGAAGAAGCTCGGTTTCTCGGATCGTCAGCTCGCTCGTATGTTCAGCTGCTCAGACGACGAGGTGCGCGCGAAGCGTAAGGAGCTTGGCATTGTTCCGTCAGTGAAGCAGATTGACACACTCGCGGCAGAGTACCCGGCACAGACTAACTACCTGTACATGACGTACAATGGTACGGAGCACGATGTGCCAGCACTGGAGCCCAATGATGGCGTGATGGTCCTGGGTAGCGGTGCCTACCGCATCGGTAGCTCCGTCGAGTTCGACTGGTGTGCTGTGAGCTGCATACGCACCTTGCGCAAGCTTGGTCAACGCGCGGTGATGCTCAACTACAACCCTGAGACGGTCAGCACGGATTACGACGAATGCGACCAGCTGTACTTCGAGGAGCTGTCGAAGGAGCGTGTGATGGATGTGAACGACCGCGAGGGCGTTCGGGGTGTCGTGGTGTCTGTAGGTGGGCAGATCCCGAACAACCTTGCGCTTCCGCTGCACAAGGCCGGCGTGAAGATCTTGGGCACGCATCCGACCATGATTGACAGCGCTGAAGACCGCTTCAAGTTCTCCAAATTGATGGACGAGGCTGGTGTGCCCCAGCCTGCGTGGAAGGAGCTGACAAACCACGCCGACGCTCGCACGTTTGCTGAGCGTGTGGGCTACCCCGTGCTCGTGCGTCCCTCGTACGTGCTAAGTGGCGCTGCGATGAATGTTGCATACAACTTCGACGAGCTGCAAAACGTGCTGAACCAGGCTGTTGCCGTGTCTGCGGAGCACCCCGTCGTGATCACGAAGTTTGTAGAGGGCGCCAAGGAGTTGGAGCTGGATGCCGTGGCCAGGAATGGCAAGGTGATTGCAGCTGCAATTTCGGAGCATGTAGAGAACGCTGGTGTGCACAGCGGAGATGCCACACTGGTGTTGCCTCCTGTGGAGGCGAGTGCGTTCTACACGAATCAGATCAAGCGCAACGCCGAGAAGATCGCGAAGGCGTTGAACATCTCTGGACCGTTCAACGCGCAGTTCCTAGCCAAGGGCGCTGAGGTCAGCGTGATTGAGTGCAACCTGCGTGCCTCGCGTTCGTTCCCGTTCGTGTCGAAGACGACCGGTGCGGACTTTGTTAATGCTGCCACCAAGGTGATGGTGGGCGAGTCGACGGATAACGACAACTTGCCTCCTCTTTACGGTCCCAAGCGTCCAGAGGGGTTTGTTGGCATCAAGTCGCCGATGTTCTCGTACACGCGTCTGGGTGGTGCTGATCCGTTGCTTGGCGTCGAGATGGCTTCAACGGGTGAAGTCGCTTGCTTTGGCAAAAACCGCCACGAGGCGTTCTTGAAGGCACTGATCTCGTCGAACATCAAGTTGCCGGAAAAGAATATTTTGCTGTCCATGCAGGAGAAGTATTCGGAAGAATTCGTGCACGCCGCGTATCAGATGCACGAGTTGGGGTACAATCTGTACACGACGAAGAAGACACACGCGTACCTGAAGAAGTACGACGTTCCGTCGACGATGGTCGATTTCCCGCTGGACGCTGACAGCGAGAACAACGTGTTGAACTTGATTCGGGACGGCCAGATTGACCTCGTGGTGAACCTGCCCAACAACGAGAGCCAGCAGACGGAAAACAACTACCTCATCCGCCGTACGGCTGTAGACTTCTCCATCCCGCTGCTGACGAACATCAGCCTGGTGCAGCTTTTCGTGGAAGCCATGGCTGTCCACAAGAAGCAGCCGCTGCTTGGTCTGGAGCCTGACAGTCTGTTTGACTACTATGAGCGCGAGAAGAAGGACGAGGCGTGGACCCATGAGCACGAGTTCCACTAAGCGCAGTACGGATCGGAGAAACAGCATGGTTGCTTGATGTACGTGAAAGCGCAGTGTATACAGGCTTAATGCGTGGAAACAATGTCGATCAAAGCAAAGAGTCAAGTCGTGTGTGACCACGACCGCGTGTATCTCACCTCGTCGTCGTCGTCGTCGTCCTGCATCGTGAAGCACGTGTTGTGCTCTTTGAACCAGTTCTCCAAGCCGAACGCGAACAGGCCACTCGTGTACGCAAGCGTCTGCTTTTCGTCCATCGTCTTCAGCTTCTCCGTCTCGACTGACCTCTTGTTTTTCTTCCCCTTTGCGACTGCTTCGTGTGTCAACTCGAGGTACCGAGTCGAAAAGTGCTGCACGAGTTGCGGGTAGTGCACCACGAGCTGCTTTCGCAAGTGAACAGAGCGCGTGTACGACGCAATCACGTAGGCGTCGGCAATGTCGAACGCCGAGTCGGCCAGCGCACCGGTGCGCATACGCTCCAGCACCGGCAGAGCTGTCGACGTTGCAACTTGTCGACGCGTTGCTTCGGGTTCGTGGTGCTCGAGGAAGTCCATGACCCGGTGCTTGACGCTGCTCTTGGTGCTGCCTTTCGATGACGCGCTGAGACCGAAGAACCCACGCGCTGCCGACGGGTGCGTGTGTAGCGGCAGTACGTGGAAGCGCTTCCAACAGGCAAACGACACAATGCCGTTGAGCTGCGCGAGCTGGAACATGCCGGCGTTGTGGAAGCGTCCAGAGCAGAACATCCGCATGAACGCTTCAATGCCCACGAGCCATTGAGCTGCTGGTTGTTGCTGCTGTTCGGCATCGCGCACAGTCGCCAAGATACCATCGACGACACCGCCGATGCGGAGCACGTCAGCGCTGGCAAATTGCGTCGTGGGGATATGGCCCCAGCGACACACGCGACCACGTTCGGTTACCACAGCAAAGCCAGTGCTGTTGGTGTTGATGTCGAGTCCAAGGACGCGCAGAGGGGGGAAGCAATGCAGGAGCTGCTGGACGTGCTCGTCGAGGTCGCAAACTTGCAGCGCCTTGCGAATGCGAGCTCCATTGCGGCGCAGCGTCGACGAGGGCGCTGGCGCCTTGCGCATGAGGACAGAGCACAAGCGCTTGGGAATAGCTGGTCGGTGGAATTGACTGGTGCGCAATTATGATACGATTGGTCGGACGTGTAAAGTCGGCACCGCACGAGTCGATATCCGGGATGGCACGTCACGAGCTCAAGCGGTCGTTTGCTCCATGGGCGGTGGTGGTACCGAGGCAAATTGGTAGAAGTTGACCCACGACGCTGGTGGTCGACTGCCTTGTGCTAAGAAACGGAGAGCGAGGAAACAACCTGTGGTTTGCCATTTTCAGTATCACGCACGTGTCGCGCCAAAAAAGGCATTTCTACGTCACGGGCGACACACGGGCGTGGCTGGTAAAGGAATTCGAGCGATCGTATTACAGCAAAAAGCGCAGGCTGATCGACTGCTCGTTCTGGTACATTCTCTGGTACGTTCTCTGGTCCATTCATCAAATTTAAATTCGCCGTTTGGACCCTGTATGACACCCACATTGCAAGAAGTAGGCTTCATTATAAACAAAGATCAAACGTCTCTTCGGCCGCGCTCGCGTCCTCTACCCGAGTGTCCTTGTCGGATCCAGTATCAGCTCAACTCGAGATCGAGGTGTATCCATGGATCAACTGTTTGTTCGCTTACCGTCGACTGATACTTCCGCTTGCACGATAGAGCAGACTTCGGTTGTGTGCAATCGAGCCAAAATTCGAGACAACAATGCATTCCTTCGTACAAGAACAAACTTCAATGTATGTACCAGATCCATTGAGCTGCTTAGTTGTCCTTGCTATGCTCTACCGCGTCTGCCTTCTCACCACTCTCCGTCGTCGGTGCCACTTCCGATGACTTTTCGTTGACATTGGTGTCCTTTAGCGCAGCGGTCGTCGACGTCACCTGTTGATCGACGTCCGACTCAGACGCAAGCTGGCCTTTCACCGACTTCTTCTGCGCCGCACCGAACGGAGTCTGCTGCCACAGCGCCTCGAACTCTTCCGGACTGCCACTCGAGCAGATGGACTCGTGCTGTCCATCGTCTTCGTTGCCTTGTCGACGCCATGTTGTCCGCATCTTCTTGCCGTCGATCTCGCGCTCGTGCACAGCTTTCAGTCGGCCAGTGGAGTCTTCATAGCGGCGACGCGTGGTTGCGACTCGCCGACCCTTCTCGTCCACCACGGACGAGTTGCTGAACGAATAGGACGAGAACGTGTGACTCGTCGAGTCTTCTCCACCCTTCAACGTCTTGTCGCTTGACGCCTGTTGATCCTGTTCCGGCGTGCTGTCCGACATCTGAAAGACCGTCGGCTTGTACTTGTGCGTGACCACCGGCAGGTCGACAAAGAAGTCGTCGTCGTCCGTCGACTTCCCAGAGTACATGACGTGCTTTGGACTCGGAGCCACAAGCATCTCGCGACGCGCCATACCATACGGATAGCGAGCCCGCATCATACTGTCGCTCATCTGCTCGAGCTCCATCATGGACTGCTCCAGCGACGACATGGGGTACCAGAAGCGCGGTCGCACGAGATCCCACGAGCTGAACATGGTGACGGTTGCGTTCGTTACTTGGTCGTGTGTGTGTGTGTTGTTGTTGTTGGTCTGTTGGGACGGATCTTGTCGTTTGATGCAAATTGGGAAATGAAATGGACGTGCAGAACGCTTCGCGCGAAGAAGCAGCCGACCGATCGTGACGTTGAAGTGCTCGATCGAGTGGCGTCGAAGGGAGCGCTGCAACACGTCTCCCATACAACGTGTCATATAGCTGAGATGACTCACTGTTTCGAGAACCCAAATAATACCGACCGACTGTTTCGAGAACTATCTCCCGTCTCTGTTCCGTTTTTCGGTGCGTACTTTTCACTTTACGGACCAAAAGCCGAGAAAAGAGCGATGACCTGTTTGCGACGGAATGCTCCAGATAGATAACAACGTCCTTCCAACGAGTGATAAAGAACACGAGAGAGAGCGAGAGAGGTACGCTCTTCTGTTTCGGAGCTTGCAGTCGAAGCGGACGCAAAGTGTGCTGGACGGAGTATATCGGTACACGGAACATGAGCGTTGCATGACGTCGCAGCTGATCAGCTGACCAAAGACATTCGTTTCCGCCGCAGTGGAACTGAGCGGTGATACTCATCTTTGTTACTCAGCTGTGCGAGTTGGCTGTGATACTCATATGCATACCGACTTCGTTCATTGCTTCGAGTCGAACTGCTTTGCAGTGTTGCAGCCAGCGCTTCCAACACGTCGTGCCGTGCCGGCATGTGGCGTTTACGCCGACACTGATGGTGATCTCATGCGGTGTAGTAGTGAAAAAGGTGGTCAGTAGCAGTTACTCCTTTTCTTGGGGACGACGAGTGTCGACAGTAGAGATACTCGACAGTCAGCCAAGAAATGAAGTCGACCACCGAGACGGATGAATGAGGACGCGAAGATCTCTCAACGTAGGATGACGAGCTTCTGTACTTTGCATCGGTATAGTCGAGCAGATGGCACCCCGGACGTGTCTGGTCACTTTTGCGTCCGACTGGTACACGTGCTTTCACTCTCATTGACACCGTGACATCCAACCACTCACTCACTCCCTTATCGACTTCCGCACATACTCACACTTCCACCCATCCCTGATTCGGCTTCAAGGCATCATGGCAGCGTGACATTGAATTCAAGTGCATGTGATCGCGGGCGTGCTATCGCTGGTCAATGGACGGACACGTTGTCAACGCTGGCACGTTTTACCAACAACGTGTACAAACGGTACGATCATGGCTTTGCACAGTGTCTTGGCTATGCTTTTATCGTGCAACTGATGCGTCCCCTGTCAGGCACTGACGTCTCACCCTCGAAGAAGCTGCTGTGCCGTCATTTTCGATACGCACGAATCACGATATCGTCAAACGTGCAATCCACGCCGCGCCAACGAAAGCGCCCTTTTCACGCATGAAATATGGACTGATATACGCTATCAGGATGGCGTGCACAGTGAGCACGGGAGCAGAGGTATACCTACTATGTGAACGACAGCGTACCCGTCGATGTCCATTCGACTATTCTTCTCCCGTACATGCGACAATCGTTCTCACGAATACGTCGATCATGTTGACTGCTTCTTCGATCGTTCAACTCGCCGACACTGTTTGCGTATCCAGCCATCGTCTGCAGCTCGATCAACTTCATGTGGCTCTCTAGAGTCCGTGATAGGCCGTCTCTTCCTATTTCGACCCAGCGCAATGCGATGAAGCCAGCACGTCGACGTCTATTGCAGTCAGCTTTCACGTGTTGAGTAATCTCGATGCGACATTGGACCTCTTGTGCTCGATGAACGGTCATCTGCTGCCTTACGAATTAGAGTGGAGGATTCCGAGTCGTTACCAGAGATCACGCGATCAACACAGAAGGCAGCTCACGATATCTCGGCACTGCAGCAAACTCCTGCCACGCGCAAAAGCACACCCAACAAATCTTCGCACCTTCGCACAAACTGAGAAGTCTTGCAAAATGCGCTAAGGGTAGTGCGCTTTTGTGAGAAAGTCTTTTCGCTTTCGCTCATTTCGAGAATCGATTACGCACTGTGCACACCGAGAGGAAGCAGCAACTACAAGATACGCAAGCAGGGATGGTACCCGACGGTGGGACATCCCGTCACGATGCACTCGCGTCCTCTGCTCGAGTGTCCTTGTCGGATCCAGTATCAGCTCAACTCGAGATCGAGGTGTATCCATGGATCAACTGTTTGTTCGCTTACCGTCGACTGATACTTCCGCTTGCACGATAGAGCAGACTTCGGTTGTGTGCAATCGAGCCAAAATTCGAGACAACAATGCATTCCTTCGTACAAGAACAAACTTCAATGTATGTACCAGATCCATTGAGCTGCTTAGTTGTCCTTGCTATGCTCTACCGCGTCTGCCTTCTCACCACTCTCCGTCGTCGGTGCCACTTCCGATGACTTTTCGTTGACATTGGTGTCCTTTAGCGCAGCGGTCGTCGACGTCACCTGTTGATCGACGTCCGACTCAGACGCAAGCTGGCCTTTCACCGACTTCTTCTGCGCCGCACCGAACGGAGTCTGCTGCCACAGCGCCTCGAACTCTTCCGGACTGCCACTCGAGCAGATGGACTCGTGCTGTCCATCGTCTTCGTTGCCTTGTCGACGCCATGTTGTCCGCATCTTCTTGCCGTCGATCTCGCGCTCGTGCACAGCTTTCAGTCGGCCAGTGGAGTCTTCATAGCGGCGACGCGTGGTTGCGACTCGCCGACCCTTCTCGTCCACCACGGACGAGTTGCTGAACGAATAGGACGAGAACGTGTGACTCGTCGAGTCTTCTCCACCCTTCAACGTCTTGTCGCTTGACGCCTGTTGATCCTGTTCCGGCGTGCTGTCCGACATCTGAAAGACCGTCGGCTTGTACTTGTGCGTGACCACCGGCAGGTCGACAAAGAAGTCGTCGTCGTCCGTCGACTTCCCAGAGTACATGACGTGCTTTGGACTCGGAGCCACAAGCATCTCGCGACGCGCCATACCATACGGATAGCGAGCCCGCATCATACTGTCGCTCATCTGCTCGAGCTCCATCATGGACTGCTCCAGCGACGACATGGGGTACCAGAAGCGCGGTCGCACGAGATCCCACGAGCTGAACATGGTGACGGTTGCGTTCGTTACTTGGTCGTGTGTGTGTGTGTTGTTGTTGTTGGTCTGTTGGGACGGATCTTGTCGTTTGATGCAAATTGGGAAATGAAATGGACGTGCAGAACGCTTCGCGCGAAGAAGCAGCCGACCGATCGTGACGTTGAAGTGCTCGATCGAGTGGCGTCGAAGGGAGCGCTGCAACACGTCTCCCATACAACGTGTCATATAGCTGAGATGACTCACTGTTTCGAGAACCCAAATAATACCGACCGACTGTTTCGAGAACTATCTCCCGTCTCTGTTCCGTTTTTCGGTGCGTACTTTTCACTTTACGGACCAAAAGCCGAGAAAAGAGCGATGACCTGTTTGCGACGGAATGCTCCAGATAGATAACAACGTCCTT